GTTTGAGTAGTTTGCTGACGAGACTGATGTTTGACTCTTTAACTTCTCCAAATAAATCAAATATTTCATAAAAACCTTCACTGCCTTTTTAGATTTGCTTAAACTGAGACACTACTTGTGGAACATTACTGACTGGTTCCTATTCTTGTAGATAAGTATATTATGAATTCCCCCAATGTTCCCTGCCCAATTATTTATTTAGTGAGTTGTAATTAGGCCCAATATGTTGTGAGAGGGTCAGAGTGAGGTATACGCCCACATGTAAAGAGTATTGGGTTTAGATAACCCGGAACTGAGGTCAAACCTTGCTTGCATTGGATTTTGGTTGAAGCTAGATCAGAGAGACTGAGACATGATCTCCACGTGACTGAAACCAAACCGGTCAGGTTTCATAATTAGTTCTACACTTATACTAATTACAGATCATGATTACCATGTACAAAGCTTGTACTGTAAACATGACATTTCTTTCTCTACAGTATCAAACCCTCTTCTTATACGAAACGCAGCACAAAATATTGTCTCTGTAAATACTATTTCTAATCATGCTTCTTATAATCACTTACTATGCTTCTTATAATCACTTACTTTTCTTGATTCTCTATGGATTTTACATCCATTAATTGTTCGTGGCGTTGTTACTAGGCCATTGCGATTTGTGAAGAAACTAGTAGAGCTTAGTGGACAGGGAGTGACGACAATCATCGGAGGACGACACTAGGTTGCAGAAGTCCACAACGTTAGGCTTGCAGCATTCACTTTCAGTTGCATACATGTTTCATGTTCCACGGGTCGCAAGCTATTAAAGTTCTTCCGATTAAGGGTAGAGTAGAAAAAATAATGTAATATACTACTCACTTCCACATATGAAGTAATTTTGTTTTCAAGTGGACTACTAAATAGAGGAGTAATTGCGGTTCTGCCTTATGACAGGGGAGTACCTCCCAAATGCACCGAACTTGGATTTTTTCTTACTCATGGAAAAGGTCTTGGAAAATGAACAACAATTGCACGTACAACATCGGAGAATTGGCACCATGGAAAAATGAAAGGTATGTCACTTAATTCGTTGATGTGATGCTTATATCTTAAATCCTTTTACTATTTTTAAATCTTCCAACAAAATGTATTTTATACAATTTCAACAACTTATAGGGGTTCATCCATATCCGTTTACGAATAATTACTACATCATTATGAAAGATTTTCATTTCTAAACTTTTCTCCTGTCTATAAACAAAGTAAAATTAGAATAAAATAACCTCTTTTAATCACATTTAATGCATTTTTAGTAATACCAATCACAAGTAACTAGTATTTCACCCGTGCGATGCACAGGATAATATTTACTTATAAATTCAAGATGAAATAAAAAATAATTGAATGGGTAGTTTGTTATTTTATCTTTTAGTAATTCATTTATATATTAGAAGAGAGCTAATAATGAGCAGATTAAGTCGGAAAAACTTGATCTTTGCTACTTATTTTTAAAATAATTTTTTCGTTTCTCCCTTTTGACAAAATTATTTACAAAACTATCATTTACCATTTGTAAAATATGTGAAATTTTACACTGAATAGGACTAAAACATAACTCATTTCTCAATGTAGGACTTAAACTTTTTTATTCTCTAAATAGAATGTAATAATGTCTAGTGAGAAGAATAATGCCCAAGTGATGCTGAACATTTAGTTGAATAATGACTAATAGATAATAACCAATGATCCTACATTAGGAAATAAAATAATATGGTCCTATATTGAAAAAGTCATTTTTTCAATGAAAGGATATTAGACTTATAAACAGCTTATAAGTTAAGAATTATTTATCAACAATAAAGCAATAAGTACCAACACAGAAAAAATACCAACTATGTAAAAATATGGAAAAGAGAGTAATTTTTTTTATTGAAATATCTATACAAAAAGAACACTACTACCAACTTTAGGCGTAGTATTATATACCTCCAATATATGCTATTTTATAAATAATGTGAAGGATAAAATCTCAAATATATGCTCCAATTGGTAAGCTATAAAAATTCCCCACCCTCTATATTTGAAAGGCCCTGCATATCTTCTATTTCTCTCATTTTTGTCCATCAGATGTCTTCAACATCATCTGTTGATACACGCAAAGAAATCATCTGCCTTCACCTAAACTACTCCTTCCATATCAAGCTAAGGTGTATTTCTACTACTCCTTCAATCTCGGGTGGCACCTCAGTAACATGAGTAGCCAATATAAGATAGACAACTTGTCATTGACATTTCTACTAAAAAATTATGCAATTACTTGAATCTATCATGACTGGCCAAAAGTGACCTCAACATCAATAATATCTCATAATAAAATATAACAACATTATGCAGGTGCCTCAAAGACTCCCACCCACCACAGAGTAAAGAGGGTCGGATGTAATACCCCTTATCTTTAAAACATAAAACTACAGTTTCTAAATGACCGATGATGAGCGTTGAAAATCACTTAGTATATTATAATCGCGTTGAAAATTGCATCAATTCTAAAGCATGAATAACAGATCCAACGAAATGTTAAACTCTTGAAATTGGAGTTGTTAAGCTCAATCAGATCATTATACTCAGTTAATTCCCTTGAATAGCATCACATAAAAATTAACTCTGACATCAAATTTACATCTAAAACTACCAGAACTGCAAATTCTATCAAGATCCAAATCAAACATCCACAGGAACATCATTGCTTTAACCACCGAATTATCAAATCAAGCTCAAATTCAAAAAACTCGGTGGTTTAATCAAACAGCTACAAACACTGAAACTTCTGCTAGCAATGAAGTATTTTTTTTCAAGAAAAATGAACACTCACCACTATTCTTGCAAAGTTCTTCAGCTACTGCAAAGAGCTAAGACTGTCGGATCAAGATTTTCTTGGCTAACAGGAGAAAAGGGTGACTGGACATCAGAGAGTTAATATTTATAATAAAAGAAAGTATTGTAGTAATGAATGGGGAAGTATTCAATATCTCTTTAGAATATAGAATTTAAAGGTACAACTTATAGAACAAATCCTGTTCAAGTAAGGTCGTATTAATATCTATAATAAAATAATAAATGAATAGGGGGAAAATTGCTCCACGTATGTTGCATGTTTAGATGGGCTAAAAGAGTCGGTGGAACTTCACGTACTTGAGTTGACAACAGTAGCCCGATGCTAATACTGTAAAAAGAAACATTAGAGGACACAAATGTTATGCCATGTCTCCATAACATATACCAAGATAAAAATGCTTATTTTAGCATGTGCAAATTTTAAAGTTCCTTCTGTTTGAACAGGAAAATGCATTACATCTATAATATTTGTTGCTTTGTCGTATTGTGGTAGGGTATTCAAAGGTAGTTGATTTGAAAGCATAAAGACCAATATAATGGTAGTTGAATGTGCATAACATTTACACAAAATAAAGATATAATGTACCTAAGAGTCCTAAAAATGAAGATATAAAGCACCTGAGATTTCTTCACAGCACCTCAGGGTATGGCATAAAGCAAGTAAAGGGAGAAGAAATTGTAATGAACTTAATAAGAAAAAATGACACAATCGAGGGTGAAAGCTAAGAACCAATATGGATGATAAAGTAAAGGGACTACAAGTCTACCCAACACATAGAAATAATGACCTTGTTTCTTTTATGTATGCAAAGGCTGTACATTCATTCATATACAATTAGCTACTAAGATGTTAGAAGGGATTACTGGAGAAGGGATTTCTGGAGTTTGCAGGATGAAGATGGGAAAGCTGATGATTCCAAAGATCAACACCAAA